CTGGGAAAATTTCTTTCGCTGGAGCGTTCTTTCTGTTTTCCGCTATTTCGCTGTTTAATAGTTATATATTTTTTTTTCCTCCAGTACTTTTTACATCGGTTTTGGCACGCAACCGATGTAAAATACCCACCTTTTACATCGGTTTTTCCCTGCAACCGATGTAAAAACACCCTTTTATAATTAAAATTTACAGTTATAAATTTTTTTCCACATCAGACTTAAATATTTAACCGATGTGATTGGTGTATTTCTTACATCGGACCACAGAACCGATGTAAAATGTCTTTGATTTACTACATCGCCTGGCTTTACATCGGACTAAGACCCGATGTAAAAAGTCAATTTCGCCCGATGTAAAAAGTCATTTCTGCACTAGTGGGTTTTCTGTTTGACATTTTTTTAATTTCATTAATTCACTTATTTTCATTTTTAATGTATTTCATATTTTCTTAATATATTTCATATTTTATGCACTTATTATCATTTATATTCATTATTTGAAACAAACCCTAATGGTTCTCAAAGAAACTTGTAGTCGTCATCTTCTTTCTCCTTCTTTCTTCTCTTTCTTCTTCTCTCTTTAACATAGTGTTAAGTATTAACAAGTGCGGGTAGTGTGGATAATCATCTCACATTGGATAGGAATGTGGTGACTTGAGCATTTATAAGTAAGAGAATCCACACACCTATCACCTTAAGGTTTTGGGTGAGTATGTGGTGTGTCTCTCACAAAGGTGTTGCTCTAGAAAGAAAATTCCCACAATGTTTAATGCTCCATAGTTGAAAAATCTCCAATGATAGTGGTATCATGAGCCTTTGGTTCGAGTAAAGGGATCAACTTACTTGTATTGAAAGTATCTCCACAGGTCGTGGATTGAGTGTCTCATTAAAGAGTGTCAACAGTGGTACAAAGGTGCAGTTGCACAGTTAAAGCTTCCGCTTAAGGGGAGCATTGTAGAAGCATTGTGGATAAACTGAGGGAGAGTGTTAAGTATTAACAAGTGTGAGTAGTATGGATAATAGTCCCACATTGGATAGGAATGTGGTGACTTGAGCATTTATAAGTGAGAGAATCCACACACCTATCACCTTAAGACTTTGGATGAGTATGTGGCGTGTCTCTCATTTATAAGTCCCACAATGTTCAATGCTCCCTAGTTGAAAAATCTTCCCTAACATTGGTATCATGAGCCTTTGGTTTAAGTAAGGGACCGACTTACTTATATCGAAAGTATCCTACAGGTCGTGGGTTGAATGTCTCCTTGAAGAGTGTCAACAGTTGTACAATGGTGTAGTTGCACAGTTGAATCTTCCGCTTAAGGGGGAGCATTGTAGAAGTACTGTGGATAGACTCACACTCGAAGGGGAGTGTTAAATATTAACAAGTGTGAGTAGTGTGGATAATAGTCACACATTGGATATGAATGTGGTGACTTAAGCATTTATAAGTGAGAGAACCCACACACCTATCACCTTAAGGTTTTGGGTGTGTATATGGTGTGTCTCTCACAAAGATGTTGCTCTAGAAAGGTAAGTTCCACAATGTTCAATGCTCCCTTGTGAAAATCTCCCCTAACACATAGTACAACAGATCTACACTTATTTTTTTATTTTTAATTTGTTGAAAAAGAGAACAATTGTCAAATTTGTGATTTCTTGAGTTGTAATTTGGTGTGGTGGTAGTAAAACTTAAAGGGAGTCTGAAACTTAGTATGGTGGTTGTGATTTAATGCCCTGTATGTTGAGCTTAAAGAAGTAGAGGAGAAATCTTGGAAGGAGTCTAAGCGTTTGGAAAAGGAAATTTCTAAAGTACAAGAGTTGAAGAAAAATAGCAGTACCATGACGACAGATGAGTACTTTGCCAAGCATCCTAAGCCGAAGAAGAAATTTGATGAATAAATAATAACTACTTTGATTTTTTTGGTAACTTAGTTCTGTTTAAAAGGTTCTTCACATTTCCATTTTCAAAGTTGCTGTTGTAGTTTAGAAATTGTTGTTTTATTATGGTTTCAGTTGAGACACTCACTTTCTGAAAAATGTTGTGGCTTTATTAATAAGTTGTTGCGCTCGTAAAAAAAGAAATTCATAAAAAAATAATTATGGGTTGGAGATGATGATAAATTGAGAAATAATGGTAAAATTTAATTATAAAAGATATTTTGAAAGAGAAATAATAACAAAAATCTCATAATTTATGTTAAAGATGATCATAATAAATAATTAATGAAAAATCTCATGATTTTCCTGAGTTGTCATGTCAGGTTGGCAATGATTAATGTTTTTTTTTATAAAAAAATTGACTGGAGGGGCCAATAATGCTAACTAAACTAAGTTTAAAAGATCAAAGTATAATATTTTTTAATTAAGAGACTAAAGCGAAACATTAAATTAAGTTAAAGGATTTGGGTAACTAATTATGTCTAAAATGTTTTAGTTTTTTCACACTTATTAAAAAATATAACTATCATTATATAAAAAAGGAAAAATTATGAAAAGTTTTACAAAATTATCCTTCATTAATTATATGAGAAGATAAAATTATAAAATTGATAGGAAAGAGAATAATAAATATTTAATGATAAAATAAGAAAAATAACATTAATAATTTATTGATAGTGTAAAACGACTTATATTATAGTATAATTTTTTTCACTCTAAAACAATTTATAATAAATAAATAAAAACAAAAATTGGATATATTTTTGAAAAATTAAGAAATTGAAACGGCCAGTTGAAAATTTATTATCTTTATAAAAAAATCGATATTTTATTATCTATAGAGTAATAATTAAGGTGATTTAATAGTTTGAACTTTGAAGAGAAAAATAAAAGTTAGAGTTTCATTCAACTTAGAAAGTAAGGATAGCCATATATACACATTTATAGATAGAAACAAAATTGGTTAAAAATGATGCAACAAAAAGAAAATAAAAGTTATGATAGATATCTAATCTGCAAGTGCATATTCAACTTTTTGAAAAGATATTTATAGAAAAGCATTATTAAACTCCAACTATAATAATCACATATATGTACTATTGCAAATAGATTAGACTGAAAACAAATGAAAACCACAAAACAAATGATGTCGGTATAGCAGTAGTACTATTGCACACTTTGCACATTCAATTATGCATTTGAAAATACTTGAAAAATTGTAATCATTGTCCTTGGTTTGTTATATTTTAAAGTGATAAATAATTTTGTATTATTTTCTGCTCATTTTCATTAACTTTTCTATTGAATTTTCCACAGCCTAGTTTGCAATATCTATACCTCATTCAAAATCTTATCCTTAATATTACCATACCTATATGACAATAAATTCCAGTCCAATTTGAATCTTTTTCATTCAAAATTTGTCAAAGCCACTTACTAAGGAGAGATATTAACATACCTCTTCTTTCGATATTTCGATTTTAATTGAACATTACTTTTTTAACATTTCGATATATATAAGTCGGTCCTTTTACGAACCAGACTCTAATACCATATTAGGAAAAAATTTATTGAGAAGTATTGAATATTGTGGAACTTCCTTTTAAGAGAAACACTTTTGTGAGTGACATATCACATATTCATTCAAAATCTTAAGGTGTATCTCTCATAAAAGCGTTTCTCTCAAAAAAAAAAGTTCCACAATGTTCAATACTTCACGGTAAAAATCACCTCTATCATGGTATTAAAGTCTGGTTCGTAAAACGACTGACTTACATGTATCGAAATGTCAAAGAAGTGGTGTCCCGTTGAAATCAAAATGCTCAAAGAAAAGGTGTATTCGAAATACCTAATAAGAGGTGTCTAGTAATAGGTGTCAGCGACGGTACAAATATATGTGAACAAAAGAGTTTCCACATGAGGAAGAGTATTGTGGACTGCACTTGAGAGAGAACGTTGAATAATATAACAAATGTGAGTAATATGGATAATATTTCCACATTGTATAGAAATGTGGTGACTTGAACATTTATAAGTAGAAGAACTCATACATCTATTATCTTAAAGTTTTTGATGAATATATAGTGTTTCTCGCTTGTGTTGCTCATGGTCATATATCTAATGCTCTTTAGTGTAAAACTCCTCTAACATATTTAAGAGTATAATATAAAAAATAAAAATAAAACAAAGGTAAAATTTATGTGAGTCATATACGAATAAATTAATTCAACATGCTTTAGTAAGTCGAAAGAAGGTAAAATAGAACTCTACATCAAATATTTAATTCACACTTTAAAACTCCCAAAAATGAAAATATGAGAAGACTTAAAATAGCAAGTCGTTGTGTTTTGCATAAATAATATAAAACGAAACACGCGAACCACGTTTCCCTTCCATACTTTCATCATGCTCGCTCTATGGTTGACACGTGTAAAAATGATTAAATGAACGGTGAGGATACAAGTTGCATGTTTAACGACCCAAAAATATCTTCTGTTTTCTTTTTTCTTTTACTTCAACCTCTCTTTATTATAGAAAAAATTTTATTTAGTGTATTTTCTCTATAATAATAATACTATATTAGTTATCTAATAAATCTAAAAAGTATCTTTTTATAATAAAGACCAGATAGTAATTTTCAACACACATCAATAATATTTTTTTATGTTGTAATAAATGATAAAAATTATAAAATTATTATTTTTCTTTATTTTTTTTATATACATGTGATCAATCCAATTGGTCATTATATATATATATATATATATATATATATATATATATATATATATATATATATATATATATATATATATATATATATATATATATATATATATATATATATATATATATATATATATATATATATATATATATATATATATATATATATATTCCACAAATCATGTTACTCTACTCAACTACCCTTCACACTCTTATTTCTCTCTTCCCAGTTAACTAGCAATCTTAGCCGCAATATTCTTTCATTCTTCCACACACTTACATTAACTTTATATTATATATAAATTTTTTTATCATAGCATTTTACCTTGAAAATAATGGAGGATTCGGGAGAGAAGTGGCCTTCTGATTTGGTAAAAGCAATTGCACTCATAAATCATAGTAACTACCATCATATCAGGTACTTTATGTGCATATAACTTTCATTTGTTTGTTATTTTAATTTATTTATAGGAAAAGTGTGATGACATCATTTTGGAAGATGGAGAATCTGAATCTGTGTGTGATGAGAAATTGTTGGCACTTTCAGCAGCCATAGGCTTGAAGAAGGTTTGTAATAAAAACTTATATTCCAATGAATGATATAGACTTCCTTGCATGTGTGACTATATATATATATATATATATATATATATATATATATATATATATATATATATATATATATATATATATATATATATATATATATATATATATATATATATATATATATATATATATATATATATATATATATATATATATATATATATATATATATATATATATATATATATATATATATATATATATATATATATATATATATATATATATATATATATATATATATATATATATATATATATATATATATATATATATATATATATATATATATCAGATTGTGTTGTTATTTGTACGTAAAGGAATACTCAATTCTTAATATAAGAAGAGAAAAGCAAAATCAAGTCTGTTACTCTTTGGATCTTGATCATTTCTTACTCCAGTACCATTGGAACTTTGTAAAAAGATAATTGGTAAATATGAATGTTTTAAAAAATATTTTTAAAAGTATCATTTTCATTTCCAAATATTATATAAAAATAACAAAAAGTATCCAATGAATTAAAAATAATAATATATTAACTTTTAATGTACTTTGATTTTATTGTTTTAATCAAGATGTACCATTAATCTTTTCCTTTAATAATTTAGACAAAACTAGACAAAGCTTTGGTCCTAGAGAAGGCTAAACACTACGTGAAACAACTTCAAGAACATATAAAAGAGTTAGAACAAGATGTTGGATCCAAGAATATTTGTAACAACAATTGTGGAACAAGTAACAATATTCTTCCCGATGTGAAAGCCAAAGTGTTACAAAAGGAAATTCTCCTCACAATCCATTGTGAAAAACAAACGACTGTTATGCTCAAAATACTTACTCACCTTGAAAGCCTTAATCTTTTAGTAGTCACTAGTAATGTCTTGGAATTTGGAAAATACGCCCTTGACATCACCATCGTGGCTCAGGTACATAATACAAAGTTCAAAATACTATTTTTTTTCATTGATTATTAATAAAAGTATAGAGGTGATAAAATGAGAATCTTACTTGATATGAATATATAATGCAGATGGGTGATGGAGACAACATTCGAATGGATGAACTAGTGAAAAGCCTCAGAACAGTGATTATGACAAAGTAGCATGTGATTGTTACATATGAAACAAATGTAATATTAGTTGTTATTTTGTTTAATTACTTTGCGTATGCAAGAATTAATTGTTTTCTCTTATTCACCTCCGTCTTAGGAGCAGGCAGCGTAGGGATGTTGTGCATGTGGAGAACCTCGCACCAGATCTTCTCACGACAAGTATTCAAAAGCGTGAAGCTCTATGTCACTTTACTTACTCTTTTGAATGTGGCCTTCTACTTTACAGGGATGTGAAAATTCTCTTCCTCTAATGATATGAGCCTTCGGCATTTGTAACACACTTCTTGATTTAGCACACCTTCTTTTCTACATTGTTTTTCTCTCCCTTTATGTAGAACTCCTCTCTAGTAACCCCTTACGCATACAAGATCATTGTCTTTTGGACGAAGGACTCGTTTAAGTGTCCTGCCTTGAGTCCATTTTAGAATGCTCCCACAAATATTTTTTGGTTTGGTTGGACGACCCTGATGGTGGCCTCGTTAAAGCATACAAGGTAGTCCTTTAGTGACTCTGAAGGACCTTGGCGTATGTTAAATAGGGTTGTGGTAAACATCTTTATGTGGCGACTGGAAGCAAACTAGCGTACTAGCTTATTTACCGGTTCTTGATAGTCATTGATATAGGAACAAAGGTACACCTATATACAATTGAAGGGAGGCATCAATGAAACTGTTGGATAGTAGTTTGCACTTCAGGGAGTCAGGCAGTCCTATGATGGCTATATGTGTGTTGATGGAGGAGACGTGTTTTTTAGGGATCACTGCGCTCATCAAACTTGGCCAAGGAGGAAAGTTTGAAGCCCTCGGGGATAGGAACCCTCATGGTCGTTAGTGGCGGCATGTATCTTTGCCGGGGCAACAACATCACCACTACCGTTGGTACCTTTAGGTGTAAGGGATTGAGCTATCTTGTTAACCATGGCTTGAAATGGCTAGGTGTTGGAGTGAAGAGTGACAAAAGACAGGATAATAAAGATGAAAATTGTGTGGCCCAGGTTAGTTTTACCGGGGGCCCCCACAATGGGCATCATTATATTGGTCAAAAAGTACAGTTGTGCATGTTCCTCCTACAAAGGCAGGGGGACTCAAAGGCCTTATTAGGTTTATAATAATTTAGAGTGGTTAAGGCTTGCCTACAACGGTGAGAAGCCCTGTACAGTGGTGTTTTATAGTGGTTTTAGGAGTCATGCTCACGTGGGGTGATAGGCTCTGTTGATGAATGATGTGCTTGTAGTAAGCGTATAAGGGGTACGATCAATGTGTTATGATTTGGCTAAGCGTTATGCTTGGAGGTGTAATGAATTTTCCCTCCTCCCTCGAGGGGAGGATAATTTATGGAGACCTCCTTTTAGGCCTAGGGTTTGGGTAACCCCGAGTGGTGGCAACCGCTCCCCCTAATTTGGAGAGGTTATTGACCACCTATCCTTCAGGAGTTAATGGAGGAATCTCTCTCTCTCTCTCTCTCTCTCTCTCTCTCTCATTTGACTAACGACTCTACACGTCATTAGTGACCGGGTTGAGCCCCACATTTTCTCCTAGGCGTTAATGCTTTTGGGCAAGGGGCCCCTAATATAGAACACTCACAAATATAACACTACACGCCCTTTTTTGTAACAATTTTAAAATAAAGAGCCTAACATTTCACCACGATTGGACAAACCAAATATAGTTAAAGTTGGCTAGTTTTCTATTTAAAAATAATAAAAAAATGAAGGCACCACTAAAATATAAAATAAATCACAAATTTGTTGGCGTAGGGTTTCGAACCCATTAGCAGAACAAGCTTTCCCCACAGGTAATAATTGTAACCGTGGTAATATATAAATTGTTTTTAATTTATTATAAATAGTATGAAGGCGCTTTTTTTTATTAATGTCACAACGGATCATCTCACAACTGCGGTGAGAACTCCATTATGGAATGTATATTTTATAGTAGTGTTCTACACTATGTGAGATATGTTCCTGAGCACGGGAAAAATTGGTTGTCCATAAGCATGTTTGATGATCTAGGTTGTTGCACTAGATTTGAACATGGGGTGTTAAAAACTTCGCAAGATAGATTAATCATGTCTAAAGGGTCAAAAAATATGTGAGTTAAATATTTTAGATGGTTCCACTATTATTGGTCATGTATCATCAGCTAATGAAGATTTTCATATTAAGAATAAACTATGATATTTGAGGTCAAGTCATGATAAATGTTAGAGTTTGTTTTAGATCACTTTATCGTGTTTTGCAGAAAACAAGGGATAAAGATGAATTTGACCGGTTTTGGCATGATAATATGAACTGAGTTTGTAGAGAAATTCTAGGGCAGAATTTGTGCCAAAGTAACTTACTTGATTGGCAGATGTCCACTCATAGGGATAAACTTCCAGGCACATATGGATGTTTGGTGCATGAAATAGGTAGACTAATCTTATTCGAAGGCCTTGAAAGTTTTGTTGTTTGTTAAAATCAAGCTAGTTTATCTTGATGGTAAGGTAGTGAAGAGTATCTTCAATGGTTATCTAAAAGGTGTAAAAGGTTACAAGTTGTGGGAAATTGAATTTGGAGGATCAAAGTTCATCATAAATATATGTATTACTTTTAATGTGGCTCGTAAGCGAAGGATGAGTAAAGACGTAAAGATTAAGGCATTAGAAACTATGGTGGATAAGATGTAATTTAAAATGAAGTGTTATACTAGGGATACTAAGAATGACGAAGAAATTAAGGTTGATAATCGTAGTTCTAGTGAGGGGAATTTTACAATGGCCTTATAATTTTACTCTTATAAGATGAGGAGAGAGATTGTAACATCTCATGGATACAACTATGGTAGAGCTAGTTGTTAAGCTTTGATTTGGATGAAGGGGATGCAGGACTAAAAAATCGGGACCTTCAAGGATGCATTATGAATTAAAAGAAGTCAATGATGTTTAAAGATCCATATTTGAGGCTTGCTATACTACATAAGTAGGAAAATATGGTTGAGTGCAAGTGGGTGCAAGTGGCAAGATCAAGGTTCAAGCGTGACATCCAGAGTCGTCTTTGAGGGTGTGCAAGATGGGCTACCGCATGTAACACTCATTTTATTTATTTAGTCATTTTGGTGTTAATTTAATTATTTTATGTTGGTGTGCCCTTAGGTGGGGTGTGTTGGTATGTGATTGGTGAGTATCCTTGATATATAAGGATCATTGGTGGTGTGGAGATAATAATATAATAGTTAAGAGTAATATTGGTGGTATTATTATTATTATTATTATTATTATTATTATTATTATTATTATTATTATTATTATTATTATTATTATTATTATTATTATTATTATTATTATTATTATTATCATTATTATTATTATTATTATTATCATCGGTATGAATATTATTATTGGTGGGTGTCCCTGATATGGGAGGATTATTGGTGGTGTTTTGGTGAATATAATAATATAGTGTATAATATTGATATTGGTGGGAATATTATTATTATTATTATATTTATTATAGTTACTATTGTTATTAACATTATTATTATTTTGGTGAGATAATAATAGGATTATTATTTCTATTATTATTATTATTATTATTTTATTAAGTTATTAACATTATTATTATTTTGGTGAGATAATAATAGGATTATTATTACTATTATTATTATTATTATTTTATTAAGTTATTAACATTATTATTATTTTGGTAAGATAATAATAGGATTATTATTATTATTATTTTATTATTATTATTAAGTTATTATTATTATTGGGATTAGAAAATTAAAATAGAGAAGGAGAGGGGTTAGCAGTTTTACGATACATTGTGAGAAGTTAGAGAAAGTGGAAAAAGAACGATAGAAAGGAGAGAACGGGAAAGGGAACGGAAAAGGGAGCAAAGAACGAAGGATACAAGGGAAAATCAGAATTGGCCAAACCTTGGAGGGTTCTTTCATCGATCAACCGATTAACAAGGTAAGGGGGAGAAACTTGATTTGGGATGGTATATACATGTATAGGGTAGAGGGGATTCCTTAACCTCGTAGGAAAATTCAGATCTATGAAGTTTTATATTGGCATGCTTGTTATTATGGTTGCTAACGATAAATTGATGTTTGACATTGACGAATTGTTGATTGGTATTGGTGAATTTGGTGTATATATATTATGGTGATGTTAGTGAAATTATACGTTGTTACTGCAGTGTTGATAGTAAATATAAATAGAGTTTTGGTGAGATTCTGTGTTGTTACTGTAGTGTGGGTAACGACCATGGTTATAGCTTTGGGGAAAATTATATGTTGTTACTGCAGTGTTGATAGTAAATATAAATAGAGTTTTGGTGAGATTCTGTGTTGTTACTGTAGTGTGGGTAATGACCATGATTATAGCTTTGGGGAAAATTATATGTTGTTACTGCAGTGTTGATAGTAAATATAAATAGAGTTTTGGTGAGATTTGGTGTTGTTACTATAGTGTTGGTAATGACCAGGATTATAGCTTTAGGAAAATTATGAGTTGTTCCCTGTGATGTTGTTAGTGACTATGGTTAGGACCTTGGTGAGATTCAGAGTGACTCTGAAGTGTCGGTAATGTACCGTAATGTTGGTTCTAGAGTAGGAAGTATAGGATAATTGGTAAGTATAATGTTTATTGGTGTGTTTGTGTTTGATGATAACTAGTAATTGATAGTGATGGAGTATAAGTCAATGCTAATGAATTGGTGTTTTGGGATGATTTGGCATATAGGGCATATAGGGTGTTTTACAGTTTTTAGGGAAAATTCCGTATGGCTTTTGAGGTATCGGTAAAGTGTGTAGGTGATGATTTTGGGAATAGGAATTAGAAACCTATTGGTTACGGTAATGTGCAAGATTGGTACTAGAATAGACTGAGGATCCGAGTTGAGATGATAGGTACAGTTTGGCCTTGATGCACTGTAAGAATGATGAGTGTGGGAACTAACTTGTGTACTTGGTGATAGTACATGTTTCCCGTAATAATGACTGGTGGAC